ACATTGTCAATTATGTATTTTTAAATACATAATTGATTGTAACTACTAATATAGTTAAAAATCAACAGCATCTTGAGGATTTGGAGGGTTGAGGGTGAGCATGTTCCACTTTGTACACTGTTTAGTCAAATCAGACCTGAAATCTATTTGCCAGCGCAGTGGAAACACCTGTGTGGGTGTGCACAGCCTTCAATTTTCAAAATAACAATTACAAATAAATAAGTAATTGACAATAAGCAATTGAGTAAAAGGTTAAAAAAATACAAATTGAAAGGGTAAAGTTTCATACTATGGAAAAAAATAAGGAACAGACAAGTACAGTACATTAATAAAATGTTTTATTCTTTGACTGAGATCAAGATGCTCCATAATTGATCAGTCTTTGAAGGCAAGTAGTGAGTGCAACTTTAAAGCTGTTGCAAGGAACTCACATGACATTTGGGCTGGTGTTTGTCAGAAGGTGTGGGAGAGTCCACTACGTGGAAGAAGGTTCTATGGTCTGATGAGAACACAACTGAGCTTTCATTCTGTGTCAGCCAAACGCAGCACATAACAGGCTTACACCATCGCCAGCAGGAAACCTTTTCCAAGCAATGTTTATGATGGCACTGATGAAGCATGATAGTAGCAGTGTGATGCTGTGGGATTGCTTTGCCACAGAATGCCCTATACTATGAGAGTTGAGAGACAGATTTATTTACCAGTATGACCAAGAACATATGGTAAAGCAACAGGAGAAAAGCTTCAGCAATGCTGAGCAACCAAATCTGCCTCTAGACCTGAGTCCACTCTTGTGCTAGGACTTTCCCAGCTAAGAATTTTTTGTTCCAAGAACGTTCCAGTTATGTGCATGTGTTCTTTGTGACAATAACGTTTCCAGTCATTTTTAAACATTTATTATGAAGGTCAACAAGTTTAAACCAACTCTGCAACTGTGTTTTGGATAACAGGAAATTACTTTGCACTGTACAATTTAAATGAAGAAACCATATACTTTTCTGATAAAACAGTCAGTTAACAATCCAACATCCTTCCGCACAGCTTCCCCACTTCAGTGTCTGTCCTCAGATTGTGAAAGTGCCCTAACCACCTACAAAAAAAAAGGTGCATTTAATAAACTGGAAACAAATAAACTGTTTTGATGGATTCAACAAATCGATGATTACTAACCTGAATTCCCCTGTGGAGTGCATACTTTAAAGTCTCTGCAACAAAGTGTTCAAAGACCTGCTGGGCCACTGCCGGATGTATTCTGCAACATGCATCTTAGAAGAATAAAGAAAAAGAAAATAGTTATGCTCATGTGATGTGATGTGATGCTTTTTTAAGAAATAATATTTGAGGCTATGTAATAACTTAAATAACATAAAAATAACATTTTCACTTGTGTACTTACCCTTTATGACTTCATATAAAAGCAGGTCTTTAAACCTTTTCCTACCTTTTCGGCCCTTCAGGCTATAGGTTGCCCAAAGGGCATTGGTGCCAATTTTGTGCATTATTCTACTTCGTCCACCCAAAAGGCTCAGGTAGTTAACCTGACAGATATAAAATAAGTTTACTGTAATCTAATGCAAATTCACATTGTTTTTACCAGGTTATGTCAAAATAATGGAAAAACATTAAAAAAAAATATTTTGGAAACAGACGGACTTCCATCACCACTGCATTAATTAAAAAAAACAACCTTTGTATGTGAAAACCTGGCAATACAGCTTAGACTTTTTTGATTATGAAACCTTTATTTACATACCATTTTATTTCCATAGTTCTGGTCCCTCAGCTTTGCTGAAGCTTCTTCCAGTTGTTCTGGCGCATCCAGTGGTGTTCCAAAGTCCTCCAAGATCTCAGGGTCCTGAGATGTAATACCATGGCCTATTGCAGAATTAATGGCCTCAAGACGCTGCTCAATTTTTACCCAGTTTCATTAGGATTAACCTGACATATCTTGTCAGGCTTGAATCCTCTGTAATAGAAGATATAATTTGATGTTAATAGCATGCGGAAATGCTGAAAATTTTGTCACTTTAATAAAGAAACAGATCTGCTTTATTTTATCTGTCATAGATCATTTAAAATACACCAATATTAGTGCCAATGCAGCACCTCTGGATTGGTTCAGGACATCTCTAAATACAATACACATAAAACACTAAGAGTTGCGCTATGCTTAGCTTGACTTTTTAAATTCAGACTTACCCTGGTCAATGCTTGCTGTTGGTGTCCTTGGGGACATTGCTGAATTCACACTTGGTGATGGTGAACCTTTATTTCAAAGAAGGATACATTTTTATTTACTGTTAACTGAGACCACTAGGACAATAATCAGTTTATAGTTATACAAAACAAAACCCACAAATCAAATATGAGCACCTACTTGGATTGGCTGGACAAGCAAGAGGAGAGGAGTGAGGAGGGCTGCTCATACATCTGGTTTCCACTGGTTCTGGAGGTGGGAATTGCAAACTTTTTAATAATTTAAAAAGAATGCAGATATAGTAATTTTATAGCACACGATGTTCCCTATTGAACCCCAAACCTTATAAAGGAACAAACAGTTTATGCACTGTTTCTGCTGTTAACATTTCTCAGTGCTGCCCCACCACACAAACGTCTTTGCTGCCACAGCAAAGGAAAGAAAAGTCTACTAAAATCAATCATTTAATCAAGAACCTCAGTAACTTGCCTGGAAAGTTAATAAAACAACAGGTCGAATATACATCAGTATAATGTAATAAAATAGCAAAACACCACAAACTACAGCTTCCACTACTGTTATGGACATAGGTCATCACAGTGGGGTGCTTGACTGTTTTGGTTTGAGAGGGTGTACCTACTGAATATAATCATGATATCCTGACTGTAGTACATACAAAAGAAAAACAAAAGTTACTGAGAGCCATGTATCATTAATGTGATCAAACAGACTTACCAGAGTTATCATCAGCTCTTGCCCTAAATGGCACTGCTGACGGGGTGACTATAAAATAAAAAAATAAAGTTAATGGTAATTCTCTCATGGTTACCATTGCACCTGACAGAGCCTGAGCTGTATAACAAAGAACATTTTGGAAAATTCGCTCATAAAAATGAACAAAACTGCTACAGACCTGACACAGAGTCACCGTGAAGTTCCTTTTTCAAGGGAACGAATGCTTATGAAATCATTTAAATCCTGTTTTGTAAAGGCTGGTTTTAGTTTTTGGTTTGAGTTTTGATATACAGCCAGTGCGGGTGACACAATGGCGTGATGGTTAGCACTGTTATGTCACAGCAAAAAGGTTCCGGGTTTGGGCCCGAGCTGACTCTGGGCCTTTCTGTGTGGAGTTTGCATGTTCTCCCTGTGCATGTTCTCTCCCAGAGATCCATAGTATATTTCACCTGTCATTACCTAAACCCTTCTCTTTAAATGCCGTCCATCCATCCATTTTCCTCCACTTATCCGGAACTGGGTCACGGGGTCAGCAGTCTAAGATGCCCAGACTTCCCTCTCTCCAGACACTTCCTCCAGCTCCTCCTGCTACTGTATTACAAGGCTAGTGCATTTTTAGTTGTTGTAGTACTTTATACTGTACAACACTTACTTCCCTCTTTAAATGCTTTTATTGATTTAGTAGATGACATTTCATGTGTATGCATGTGTGTGCTTGTGAACAGGGTTAGGGGTTATGATGATTAGGTGTTAGGGTTAGGATCCCAACTGGAGTCATCATTTTTATTATCAGTCACACCTGTACTTTTCATGCTACAGCATGTCAAAACGTCTACTGTGAAAAACGCCTATTGGCAAGACAAGTATGTTTAAATTGTTCAGTAGTAATGCAGTAAATGTCAGGTCTTCTCTGGAATCAGGAAGTAACAGGCTTTGTAGGAAACGTGTCTACCACTCTCAAAATGTAGGTGAGTGAGTGAGTGAGCAAGTCCGAATGTACACAGTGCTTTGCAGTTGGTGAGTACATTGATTTTAGCAGGGATTAAATCTGCAAACTCTTTCTAAACTTCAAACCTACTCTGCCTCCATATCCTCAAGACATATTGACAATCTGACAAAGTGAGCACACCATTGTGTTCTTTCTTTGCAAGCTCAGCTGCAGTATTATTAATTACTAGATGCACAGCAGGCGCCCCCTCTTTTCTTCTCTCATTGTCTCTCAGTCTGACATTCATCCACCTTAATTCTGGCGCTAATAATGTAGCTGAGGCATGTATAGCATAGCTGCTACCTTTATTTTTAGTATTGTTCCTCTGATGAATGTTCTTTCAAAAAAGTGAGATGTTTTTATGACAACTTTGAGCACTGTATCATGAGTAAACCATCTCCACTAAGCCATTTGCATTACTAATTAAGTTAGCCTAACCTCACAGCATGATGCAGTATATATTTTTTAAATTGTCCATACAACAGTATTGCTGATCGTTTGTGACACACTCACAAGCCCACGCTTCTGTGGTTCTCCTTTATCACTGCTGACCTCACTCACTGCAGGTTATATAGCAAAATAAATTCTGCACACTATGTCTAGTATGTAGTGATAAATGTCTGTTGTTTTACATTTTGTCAGTGCTACACTCCAATTCATGAACCCTGAGAAAGGTTCTTGAGGGCTCTAAGAAATGAAAAGTTTCTTGATAACAACTTTAATCAACCTACCTTGATTTATGTTGCACAATGGCATTTCCTGGAAAACACTGATCACCTCATTTCAGAGGTGCTATTTCTGCCTTTACTTAGAGAAATCATCAGCAGTATTCAATAATTCACAGCACTTTACTTTCCATTATGGTTTGTCACACTGTGGCTTACACAAGCAGCAGACGCATGTGTCACCCCAGCTTCCTGCACACAGCCAATCTGATGATTGAAGTCTGCTTTGGGAGATTAATTTGCTAAGCATTCCTTATGTAATGGTAAAACTGCTTAGAGAAGAGCCTTAACAGGCAGCATGACTTGAAAAGCCACACTGTATATGCCTTATCAATAACCATCACCGCATCTCCATTCATTAATCTTATTGGTTCTGTTATACCCCAGTTCTTTTCTTCCAGCATCTTAGGTTTATATAATGCGGTGGCGGGCCGTCAGGGCTGGCCTAAACACTATTAGAAGCACTGACCTACATTTACAACCAAAATTTTAATATTTGTTCCATGAAATTGTATTAATTTATTCCCAACAGTCTGTTCTCTTCATTTCGTAGTATTTGTCTTGGCTGCACCGCTTCCAGTACGTGTATGTGGATGTTAGATTTTTTGTCCAATCAGATTTCAGCCTCTATGTGTTGCCATGTCAATCTAATCTGCCCAGGGCCTTCAGAATCAGAAGTGCTGGCCCATGTAACTTAAACTATATTAGCAATGGGACTGTTTCTTTAACCAATCAGATTTCAAATTCGCCTCACAGGGCCAGCTAGCTGGCCCACAATGATGTCAGCATTTTTCCGTCCTCTGATTGGTTGGTCAGAGCAAAACTAGAAAAGGGCTTACGATGGAACTGAAACGCAGAGATCACAGTTGCGGTTGTAGTATAGAGGTGTTGGAGTTGTCTTAACTGGGTTTCTTGCTTTAGTAAAAACGGTATTCAGGTGACTCAGGTGTCTCAAGTGTGGCATTAATGATAAAAAAAAGTGCTATACAAAGCATAAACAGTTGTGTCATGCAATAATTTGTAAATTGGCTGGAGCCAATCCCAGCAGGTCACCTGTCTACGCTTAGAGACAATCACATACACTCACTCCTACGGGTAACTGAGCGTCACCAGTCAACCTAAGCTGCATATCTTTGGACTGTGGAAGGAAGTTGGAGATAACCGACACAGGTACAGGGAGAACATGCTAACTCCACACAGAAAGGCACCGGGTCGACAGGACTCGAACCCAAAACCTTTTTTGGTCTGAGGTGACAGCGCTAACCACTGCATCACCATTCTGCTCTGGAGAGCTACTGTAGCACCAATTGTTGGAAGACATAATGCTGGTCCATACTGAGTAAGTTGTCAGAACACACTGTGTCACAACTTACTCAGTATGGGGCTGGTCAGGCTGCTCATTTTTATTATACATACTGTACAGCCACACAAAATTAAGACAAGTGCACTGGTAAAGATTTAGATAAGGTAAGATCCATTTAAAACCATTTTAGAAAAGGAATCAAAGTCTTGGAATAGTTCCTTTAATTGGTAGAAAGCAACCATGTGCATGGAAATTAGTGATAACGGCAATGCAATGACAGCTAGTGGACCGACGTGACAGTCAGATTTGATTACTTAGTACAGTGTGTCCATGTGCTACAGTATATTTTGCCTAATGGACACCTCAAAATACAACCCTATAAGGTCTTTATCTCACAAAACCACTCAAGACCATAGTTCTATATTTTCCACCACAGACAATTCGGGATTCAGTGTACATGTATCCTTTATATAGGCACATGTTGAGGGTGAGTGGATATGTATGCACCACAGCCTCCAGTGAGCATAGCGCTCCTATGAGGCCAGGACACAAGTTCCCTTGACAGGACTGGGTCTGAGTGTTGTAATGTTTTACAAAAGTAATACAAATTGGATACAAGAAAGGGCAAAAATGCAGTGTGACATTTGAGCAAGTGAAGCATTTCACTATGGGCTAGCTGTACTCCAAGTTTCACGTCTGTAGCATTTCCAATTTATTCATCATTTTATGAATACTCAGAACGCCATTAAAAAAAAACTCATAAGCTATAAGAGCTATCAGTGTGAAAAATAATAGCATAGCTCTCACCATTTGAGAACCATTACGTACCCAGAGACAGCAGTAGCTTGTTTCTGTGCTTCATGATTGTGCTGACTTACGAACACTACCTTGTGAATGCTCAGGAAGTGTTAAGAAACGCGATTTGAACTGTTGAAGTGCATTATGATCAAAAGCACAGTGCAGCCAAACAAAGAGCAAACAGCTTTATTGGACATTTTACAATAATGGGTGGAAAAAATTAACCCTCTTATGGTTTAAAATGATACAGCTTGAGATTTTAGTGTCCACCAAGATTTAGGAAGCTTTGCATAATGAAAAGTGAAAACTGCTACCATTCAAACTGTCTTGCAATTCATTCAAACTTTTAAAACATATTTACAAAGACGAAAGAAACGTATGAGGGGGGTTCACCTACACAACTGCCTCCATAATGAGACAAGCCTGTTCAACTCATGGAATTTAAAATCGTAAAGTGCACAGATCAGGAGGTAAACTGTGCTCCTCAACGTCTGCTACGACGGGAGGGGGATGCTGACCTGCAAGAGAGGCATGAACACAACATTAACACTGCACCAAATACACTTAGTCGCGCACACTACAAAATACAAACATGCACACACACTCCCTCCCACTAGACACACTGCCAGAATATAAAATACTGTATATATAGTCTCCATTTAACCAAATGTTCTGCAGACTTTACATCAGCAAAACTACCCTGTGCAGCACAGTGCAAAGCCAGAAATGAATGAATGTTCACTTGGGCATTACTAGGACCTTATTTTCACATTTTAACACACTGTAGGTTAGATATAGGTTCTTATGAGGCAACAGAGGGCAACATGGAGACTTAATGAAACATGTTAGATATGCATTAATAGCACATCTGCATTTGACAGATAAAACAATCATGAAGCTTTAAAAGCCTTTATTGCATCAGAACTGACTTTACAGTTTAGCAGATATGACTACATTTGACAATTTTTCATAACAGCCAACAATTTTCATAATTTTCCTAGTTAATGAAATATATGATTAAAAAGAATCCAGAGAAATCACAGTAAGACATACAGTGAGAACATACAGTAGGTAAAAAAGAAAAAAAAACGAATACTACCTTGATCGCGACTTAGACTTGTGTTTGCGGCTTGCCTTCTTACCAGACTTGTGAGATTTTTCCGCTGACCTCGAGCGGCTACGTTTGGATTTCTTAGATTTCTTTTCCTTGCTAATTTCTGGGGTAGGGGATCTACTTGAGTCAGAGTCTGAGTGTCTCTTGCTAGCTTTGGCGGAGCCCTTTTTGCTGGCCCTGCTATCCTGTCGGGACAGCTTCTCACTCTGAAAGGCTGTGCACGGGTCACTCTCTTTCCTTTTTTTCAACCTGCCGTTATCTTCTGCAGATACAGAGCTTCCTTTTTCTTTCTCCTTTTCCTTCTCTTTGGCCTTTGGTTTTTCTTTCTTTTTATCAGACTCTTTCTCCCTATCCTTATCTTTATCCCTCTTTTTCTTGTCTTTCTCATGGCTACGACTCCTTTCTCTCCGCCTGTCTCTGTCCTTGCTCGAGGCCTTCTGCTTGTGTTTGCTGCTACGACTATGACTCCTGTCCCTGCGCTCTCGGCTCCTTTTCCTTTCCTTATTCCTGTCTTTGTCCTTCTCTCTGTCTCTGCTGCGACTATGGCTATCTTTGTCTCTGGCCCTGGCCCTGCCCCTGTCTCGCTCTCTGGATCTGGACCTACTTCTACTCCTGCGACTTCTACGCTCCCTGGAATCACTGCGTTCTTTCTTGTGGCGGCCTGACCTTTCAGCACTGCTCCTCCTCCTGTCCCTGGCCTTCTCACTACGATCACTGCGATGTCTATGGGAGCTGTGACTGCGGCTGCGGCGGCGAGCCTTGTGAGATGAAGAGTGGCTACGCCTCCTCTTCCTTTGTGGGGAGGAAGATTGAGAGGAACTGCGGGAAGATGCTGAGGAAGAAGACGAAGAGGACGAGGAACTGCTGTGGCTAGGGGAGGGGCGGGAGCTGCTGCTGCTGTGACCGTTAGCCGGGGAATCACTGCCACCTCTTCCTAATCGCTCCTTCCCTCTACTTGAGGGCTTGCCCTCACTACCCTCCTTTTCACTACGGGACCTACGCCTCTCTATTAAGGGCTCCGCCTCCCTCTCTTTTGCTTCCTGCTTGTGTGGATTCTCTGCCTGGCCCTCATCATAGTCCCCCCTTTCTCTGCTCAGTCTCTCTTTCATCATCTCTTCTGTGGACACAAAAACAAAGGCTTGGGTGAAAAAAGAGAAACTATCAGAGACTGTTACAATGTGAAACACAATGGGAAAGCAGCGAAAAACAACCAAGTACCTAAGCAGTAAAAATACACCAACAGTTAGAAAAAGCATTCTACAAATATCTTTATTTTACTTATGGATGAGCACATCTGCTTTCACCAGATTCGAGCATTTTCTTGCATCCTAGTCAGGCAAGGTAGCGTGTTCCTACAGTGAACCTGTAAAGAACCTCAGGTCTTACCACGTGCAAGCAGAGCCTCTTGTGCTTGTTTTTCTTGCAGCTGCAGCATCTCCCGCTCTTTGCGGCGAAAGGCATCCTGCTTCTCCCGGATGCGGTGGCGCAACTCCTCCTCATCTGTATCAGAGGATTCAGACCCTCGCACGCTGCGATCATCCTCATCCTCACTCTCATCTGAACCATAGTCACCAAGCCCGCCTGCCACAACAGAGCCCCCAGGTTGTTGAGTGTTGGAAAGGACCAAGACCCATTCTCACAATTAGGTTCCAACTTTTGAAAACCCTCAATCCTGACCCAGGATCCAAGTGAAAGGCATTTTATCCTGTACAACTTTATATTTTTTCACTAATAACCACTTGAAACAAATGAATGCATACATATGGCCTTTAAAGAAACACTAATATAAATACGGTGCATTTCAGAGCATGCTCTTAACGTCAAAGTGTAAAACTAAAATCAAATCATTCACTAAGACACCACTTCTGTCTTAATCTTAAAAATCAGGAAGCACATTTGGGTGCTATGTCTTGTGTTAACAGCTTTTCCCACATTCCTACTAACACACTGCCATAAGTATTGACCCCCCCCAGTAACAGAAAAAGGGATACTCACTGAGACCAGTCAGAGAAGCCAGTGCACTTGACTGTGCCAGCTGTTTTGCAGGAGCTTTGATTCACATCAACAACAGGAACAACATGTTAAAACACATACTGCCATTTTCTCAAAGGCAAGAGAGTCGCTAGAGAAGGGAGTGACAGATAAAGCACTATTCACAAGAGCTGCCATTGGTAACAAGAGAAAAAAAATGGAGAAAAGAGAGAGGGTTAAACTTCTGTCACAAAATCCAATCAAACAGTTGGACAGGAGGGAAAAACCAATCTGTACTAATGCAGTCACTTCAATGAAGGAAGTCATATCTATAGGTGGATGTTGGTCAGAGTCAATGCTGAGACTTTATTCAGTCATACAGTCTTTCTGCAGAACCTTCAATACCATGATGACAAATTTTCTTAGGCTGCGTTCAGACTGAGTTTCAAAGGTGGAAAAAATGCAGACCTCCCCTTTCATTTTGTTGCCTTCCCTGCAGCTGGGACCAGCACTGCAGGGGGTTCCAGCAAAATTACACAGCACCATGCGAAATGTTGGATCTGGTTCAACTTTTTCTGCAACACATAGTGACATAATCCGGCAAAGGCGCTGCACTGACCAACCAAATAATGGGGGATGGTCAGAACATGGACACCCATAAGAAGACTTGTTTACCATGAGTAATCTCTGATATTCACTCTTAAATTTGGGGCACAGGTAAAAATGCATCATAGCAACATGCCATGTGTTTTTGTTAGTTGCTGGATGTTAAACAGTGTTTTTTTTATCTGTCCATGCTGAAACACTGGTGATAGGAATTGGTGCCAACATCGAGTACATTAGCAGTATGGCTAACCAAAACACAACTGAACCTCATGGGTTGTAAACGTGAATGAGGTTACACACATATGTAACCCCCCCTCCCCCAACCCCTCACCCTTCGACCAGTGCAACCCCGCTGCAAGGGGCTGCGTTTCAACGCACTCAGTCTGAACGCCCATTAATACTCTTAGTGAGAAACACTACTCTGCTCTGTCCTGATGCATTAGCAGAGAATGGTTGTTAATGTATATCAGACATACTCACGTTTCCTGCTCAATCGCTTTAGTTTACAGGGCATATTTGAGTTTTAATTTAATTTAAGGAGATTTAAACATAATGTCTGGGTGAGAGGCACAGATGATGCATAAACTGGAAAAGACAAGAGCAGACCTCGGATGGCTTTCCGGTGAGTCTCTTTGGCCACATGCAGGATCTCTTCATTAGTGACCTCGAGAAGGATCTCAGTCAGAAGCGTTTTTGTCATGAGCATCTTCATACAACGGGAAAAAACAGAAAAGCCATTATTGTCAACAAATCCTTTACAAAACTAGATAAACTACAACAGTGTGCAGTATAAAAACTCATCAAACTGACCAGCTGGAATTCCTTTTCCTCCTCAGTCATTTCAGGCTCACTGTCCTCTGCAGGAGGCGATGGGCTCCTGCCAGAAAATTCCCTCTTCAAGGAGGTCTTTTCTTCGTCATCATTGTCATCGTTCCCCTCATCATCACTGTCCTAATGCAGACAAAATCGAAGATGGCTCCAGTCAACAAAGCAACATTTATAAAGGTAATCACTGCTGCAGCTCTGATACGTGCACTAGAAAAAACGGTTCATGACCTTTAATGTCCTTTTATCACTAACACAACACAGGGGTGTAAACTGTTTCAAAGAAAACCATTTTGCAGTCATGGCCAGTCATGGGCTGCTTACAAATTTACTCCTGCGGGGTACGCGAGGCCCATTGCCCGCCTCTTCTGCCTCCTGCTCTCTGCCATTGTCTTTTGCCATTTCTGCACGCTCCTTCTCCATTCTCTCTCGCTCCAGCTTCTTCTGCTTCTCTCTGTCCATCTTTTCAAGGCCCTCTCGGATCCATGCAGGTAGTGTGCGTCTTTTGACAGCATCTGAAGTGACATCCAAGGTCAAAATGAGATACCTACATATTGCCAAGTTCTAAGATACATTAAACCCTTTTGAGCTTAGTTTGTAAAATTACCTACGTTGATTTTTATTTATTTATTTTTACAATTTTACTATTTATTGTTACAATTACAACTGCCTAGCTAAACTGTGCCAAAGAAACAGTCATTAAGGATAAATAATACAAAATACTGTAATAGTGTAAACTGTATGGAGTTGAAACTAAGGATTATTTTCCTTACCAGCTAGTCTGGCAATTTTCTCATTTATTAATCAAATAGAGAAAATTGTTCAGTAGAATTTCCTCAAGTTAAACAAGATGTCATGAAATTGTTTATTTCATTCCACCAACAGTTCCTGAACCAAACATATTCAGTTTACTATCACATAAGAAAAAGAAAGCAGCAAGTCTTCATGAAGAAAATGTTAGAGCATTTTATTATTATTATTATTTTTTTTTTGTCGTTTGGCTTTTTTTTTCTGGAAAAGTAACGATCATCAAAGTAGTTGCCACTTCATTTCTGTCAGTAAACTGATTAATCAAATACTTCTTTCTGTTCTAAAGTTATAACAGTACCATAACTGAAAGGGAATGGATGTTATTATGGCATTTTACTGTTAAGAGGCTTTACAGTGCAAACATGGAAGGGATAATAAGAGAATCATTATGGCAAAAATATTCTAATGGCTCTTCACAGTAAACTATTTCTAATAATAACAAAAACAGTACTTCTACCTTTACTTTAGTAATTTATGTCTATGGTACACTTGGATGTCATTTGTCCTGCTTTGTGAAGCCACTGTCTTTGAAAAACAGCACACAAGCCATACAATGCAAAATGAACTTAAAGCAGTCTTTAAGTTGATTATCGTAATGCAGAAGGCTGGGTGCTAGTTACATAAAAACACACTCACCTAGTGGTGCTGGGACCTCCTGCTTGACAGGGAGCTGGAGGGGGGATCTGGGCCGGTCTCTGAACCCGGGTGGTCTGGTATCTCGTCTGTTCTGAGGAGGACCCTGCCAGTATGGGGAGTGGAAGCCTGTGGGTGCGGGGGCAAAGGATGAAGCAGCTCCATGCTGTGGGGAGAAAGCACAAACTAAAAATTAAAAGGTAGTTCAAAGTACAAAATGCCCTATAATACTGCCACGAACTGGCATTCACTGGGTGTGGGGTTGTTGTCCTTCCCCAGATTAGCTGACATTCATCCACCACTCCTGACTGCACTAAAAAGTCTGTTTGGTTTAAAAATGTTAAGGTAAAAAAAAAAAGAAGAAAAAGCTAATGAAATAATACCAAACCATGCTGGATCCTCAACAAGCCAACACTCTCCTCTGCACCGCATCAAGAAAGCAATGAGTGAAACACCAAGACGCTGGGACCCGGCACAGTTTCTATGGATTGTTCCTTCATGTGTTACTTGGCTGTCACACTAAAACTGAATGCTTCAACAGTTTCTACTGTAGCATCTGCATACCTGATAATCAAACTGGTTCATGGCCATGGGGGCCATGGCGTAGCTGTCGGGCTGTGCCCCATACCCATGGCTGTTCTGGGGGTAAACCCCATGGTGGGATTCAGAGTTGAACTCCACGCTGTCCTGGCTGTTGCTGTCCTCACTGGGGTTCACCACATCCATTGGTCCTGATCCTGGAGGGATCCAGGCCTGGTCAGGTGGTGGAGGAGGAGGAGGGGGCTGGCCATGTATTCCCCATTCTGTTAATGACAACATGATTAGTAAATAAAACCAAAATCATATGAATACCTAGGTATAACCACAGGGGGAACTTGAGCTTTTTAAATTCTCAATATCTGCTCAAGAACGACTTAGTATCTGGCCTTTAAAATATTTAAGCAAGATAATAATAAGTCAGTCGTGAATGTTCTGCTTCATTTTGGTATCAATTACAGTACTAAAAAAAGAAGAGAAAAGAATAATGTGGGGAAAAGAGTGAGAAAAGGGCAACAGTTTGCTATGGTTTTGGGGTGTTAAATATGTACCTGGCTGCCAAATTCTGCCAAATGCTGGGTCACCCTGGAAGGCACCATGATTGCTCTGTCCAATAGGTTCAAGGCCTGGGATGTCCTGGCCATTTGGCTGAATGTTCTGCTGCTCTGCTCCTGTTGATTCCTTCTGGGCTATCCATGCCTGTGCAAGAGCAGCCCAGTCCACTTGACCTGCACAAAGCCAAAAAATTAACCCCGAGACTGGAGAAGACACCCATACAGAAAGTATTACAGCGCACGAGAAACTCCTGTCAATGTTGTGTGAAACGTGTAAAGAAGCCGTGCAGATGTGCATATCGTTGAAGGAAAAATGCTGTAATTGTATGCGTGCATCACTCACTGACCTGGATCTTGCTGATGCTGGAAAGACTGCATCCACTGCTGCTGGCTCAGAGGCCACTGCGGCCAGGGTTGTCCTCCCTGGTCCCACATCACTTACACACCTGAAATACCAAGGCCACCTATGTTTAGATTTTGATTTGCACTCAGCGTCTTTTGTTGTTTTGGTTTATGTGCATTGTTAAGTGCATGTACATTACACATAGGTCTCGCCAAACAGTCAGAAAGGAGCTTCGATAAGCGTGCTAGCGTTGCCATAAGCTAACCGGCTAGCTGTATGCTAGTGACTCTAGTTAGCTAGAGACAATTTCCTGTGTTGATGTAAAACACAGAAACTATGTAGTGCGGGGTCTTAAAGCATCCCTGACGCCCAATCCTGTAATAAATTCAGTTCCGGTTAAATTTCTCTAAATTCCTTAACCTCTAGTCTATCTGTGCTCATACGTTTGAGAGATAACGTTAAGCTAAACCGAGCTAATGTTAGCCAGGGTAAAATTGAGAGCTATCACATGTCAGCACCATAATCTAACCGGGTGAACAAATGTGCCTTCACATTTAAATTGCATTCCGTGCTAATGGGAATGTGTGAAGAAAACTTAAATCTGCGCCCTGCTTTCAGCAACATAATCCCCACCTTTTCCAGACAGTTTTTCTATGTCGTTGTTGTTCCGAATCAAAATGGCTGCACGAAAGAGGCGTCCACCAAGCCTCTGCTGCTGCATTCTTAGGCTGCCGGAAATTAAAATTTTTTTTTTTTCGGGGTTAATTTATCAGTATACTTTTGTGACACTGCCTACTTTTTCAAATAAATGACAGGGTAGTAGCAAGGTAATGACATTCAAAGGTGTAAAGAGGTATGCCATATGCGCATTATTAGACATGGTTAGAGAATTAACTCTTTAACAGTACGTGTTTTGACAGCAAAAGAATTGCAATGCTAATCTTGCACATCAATCACAAATTTCACTCATTCATTTGTATGTAGGCGGTTTATCCATTAGTAATTCGTGTCTCGCCATGATCTATTCATTACAAAGTCGAAAGATTACGAGCAGCACGTAAAGGAAGCATTGAGACTGCGATGCAAAACAACTTAAAATGTATATGAAAAGTCACTCATGTGGTTGTTGTAATTAAAATCTAAAATGATGCAGTCAGGAAATGTTGCACGACTACTCTTATTCATGTTGTATACAATAAATAAATAAAAATATTGTTGAGGATTTTGGCTTTTTTATGCAAAGACAAACATGTAGGCCTGTACACTCAAGAACATGATGAGCACTTACTTCTCATCTCTTGAATTTTACGTATCATAAGAGCTAAGTGTAATATTTTTGGTTGTTGTCAACAAAGTTAAATGTTTTTTGAGTGACTCTTGTTTTGGTGGGCACAGACTGGTATTTCCAATTCTCCAGTTGTTCGGTGTTCTTCATGGAATAGTTGGGTCTTTGTGGATGTGTTTTGTTGGGAGGGAAGTGCATGTGGGGAAATGGGCAGTGGAGGAGGTGATGCATATCAGACAGGTGCTGGTCAAGGCAGAGTGAGAGAAGTTCCAGCAGTACAAAGATATCTACATCGCTATGAAGAAGGGAAAGGTAACTACTTCCTGTATAACACATGGTCTACAGTATGTGTCATGAGTAGATGCATTAATCAGCCAACACTTAACAGTAGTAACTCCCTTTGTGAGGGAGGAGGCCTGTAACTTTATTGACTACACCATTAAGGGAAGAACACATACAGTATATCCCTCTGCTTAAACTGAAAGAAAGGAATAGTTGTTGTCAGCAAATAACCAAGATTGTATCTTATGCAATTTAATCTGCTGAATACCCTTGTTTGATGCCTTTGTGCTGGCTACAGCCATGGCAGGAGGCATTATGTTTTTGGGTTGTCTGGCCAGCTCATTCTTGTGAACATATGTTCCATTGTTTGCGTGAATTTTTTCATCCAGCACTTTCCACACTTTTTCCATCAGGGCTTGTACCGGCTTGTAACAGACCTGAAGCATCAGCAGAAAGAGCAGTCATTACAGATTGCCAACACGAAGAAGACTGCGGAGAATGACATGGAGATGCAGCTCCAGCTGACACAAAAAGAGATCAGCCAGAAGCTGCTGGAGGAGCAGCTGGAGGTGTGACCAACAATGCATCAGCTCCTGTCCAGTCTGGATTAGGCTCATCTATGTACCCAGCCCACAGGTGTCTTCAAATAGATCCTCCATCAGAGTGCAGACATGACCTTCATCTGGCTCTGTGCTCACTTTCTGTTGAAAATCAGAAGACATATCTCTCCCAGCAGGCTCTGTCTTCCTTTTTTTTTTTTAGATTAACACAGTAACAAATCTAAACTTAGACTCCAGAGTAAATGTTAACCATGTTTTGTATTCTGTTATCTCCTTCTCTCTCAGCTGTTGCAGAAACAGCTGAAGGAGGAGCCAAGAGTCCATGAGGAGTCTAGGAAATATGTGCAAAATCAACATCAGCATTATTGTAAATGAGCCTTTGTTACTCATATAAATCCCAGTCTCATTTTCAGTCCAGCCATTCAGAGACATTCATATAATGGTCTTCTCATGATCCTGGTCCTTTCTGCCCTATAAAGTGTCAACAGGGGTATAACAGGATGTATAATAGGATATAAGGTTGTTGAGATACAGTACAGTAATGTCTTTGTGAGTCAGTATTTCACTGGGAGACCAGTAATGACACCAACCCAGCTAAACTTTCAGGAGGTCCATTAGTTGTGCTACTTCCTTAAGCGATTAAAAAAGCTCAGTTAACACACTGTAAATGCAACCGTCTATTTTTACATTGTTTTAATTAAGTCAAATGTACCACTCTGTTCTGTTCTGTTCTTATTTGAAGCTCAGTCACTTTCTTACAAAAGAGAGAAGCAATGACTGGTAAGAAAAGTATTTTCACGGCTGGAGGATATTTCAGACAACTGGTTCACTGGGCAGATAAACTGAGATGATGTATCACTGCAAGCATGTTAAACCATTAATTTTCTTATCATATTTCTCTGTGTTATGCCGATCTACTCCAAGTTGCGTCAAAAAGAAACATTTCATTTTTGATTAATATATTTATTGAATGGAACTCACTTTCGATGTTACTTCTGAAGAGCCTCCGTCAGCAACAACAAAGCTGTTCCAACACAAATCCACAGTCCTTTAGATTTACAATGTAATGAGCTGCCATGTGGACTTTGGTTCACCATATGCAACAATTAGATAATGTTTACTCTAATCTAGCCACAGGGGTTGCAAGCCAGTGACTTCTGTGCTGGTCCCAAGCCCAGATAAATAGAGAGAGTTGCGTCAGGACGGGCACCCGGCTTAAAACATGCCAAATTTAAACATGCGAATCATCAGTGCGAATTCCATACCGGATCGGTCGAGGCCCGGGTTAACAACGAC